CGCCTCAAACTCCCAAGTCACAAGATTAACAATGATATGGCCTATAGAAGAGCTTCCATACACTAGCTAATTTCAGTCTTATTTCAGTTTCTACTCTTCAATGCTACTGACTTGGATCATTGGTTTCTGTAGGAAACCAGACTGAGATGTCACCCAGGTGCAATGACTTCATGTCTGACCCAGTGGATTCCACAACCTCAAAGAACAGTGCTGTCAATTGCTCAGGTGAGCATTCCCAAAAGAAGGACAGCCCTTCTCATGTCTGTGTAAATGTCTCCACTGACTTGACTCTCTCTCCTCAGAGAGCAGACAGCTCCGCCTGGTCAACGGGGACAGTCGCTGTGCAGGGAGATTGGAGATCTATTACCAAGGTTACTGGGGCACCATTTGTAGTGTCGGCTGGGACATGCAGGATGCCCATGTGGTGTGCAGACAGCTCGGCTGTGGAGAAGCCCTCGCAGTCATGCTGTGGGCTCACTTTGGTCTGGGATCAGGCCCTATCTGGCTGGACGACCTGGGATGCACAGGAACGGAGTCTCGTGTGTGGTTATGCCCATCCCGTGGCTGGGGGCAGCACAAATGCAGTCACAATCATGATGCAGGAGTCTTCTGCTCAGGTATGGTCATTGTCTTGTCCACTAGCTGGGAGAATGGAAAGCTTTGCACAAACTTGGCCATACTAGAAGCATAGAGTATTCCATTAAATAAATCAGACTAGAATCAGACCTAAATGGTCATAAATTGTTGCCCATAAGGAACAGAAAGTTCTCATTGAAATTCTCGGATACATAGGGTCTCTACCCTACACAGAGTTTCTAAGATTTCAATATCTACAGTAGCAGATAGTCTCATATTTCACCCACAATATCAATATGGAAACATCCGTTTTCATTTTTTACTTGAAAAACACCCATATAATAATACCATCATTTATTTTCAACTTTCCATTATTTCACATACTAAAAGTTGAATATTACATAAGCAATATACACAAGCAACAAATTGTGTTGCTTTATCTGGATTATTTTTACTTTGACCTTCTAATACATTTACTTTAGATGCAGTTGGTGAGAAAATAGCTACCACTTAATTTTAAATGAGTCACCTGATTCTTATTCCCTTTTTAGGAAGTAGAATTGGGGCAGCTTCTCATGATTACTTATTTTTTCTATTACTGTTTTTTTTTCTCAAATAACGCATTCACATAAATAACACTTACAAACATGTAAAGCCCATGATAACCTTCTTTGCATAGAAAAAAAGGTACAGAATTTGAGTGATTGGCACAAACAAGTAATGTATATGCGTTAGTCCGTGTAGACTAGAGATACAAATTCATAGACACTCATATGTGTATAAGAAAGAGCTTTATATACAAGAGCAGTTGAATATTGAGAAAACATCCCA